CCAGTGGCATCTCCTTTTCCCTTATTCGAGAACACCAGCAGGTAGGCTACTCTTCTCCCTTTTCTTGGTAGGAAAATCAAAGCTCAGAGAAGTTAAGTTGCCCAGTGTCACACAATGACAGAGCTAGAATGAAAGAGCTAGAACCAAAACCCAAGTGTGTGTGACCTCAAAGCTTCTATCTTTTCCAAAGCATGACATGCAAATACTGGTCTCAAAGCATTTTGAACATCACACCAATGACACTTAGCACCATGGATTTTAACCAACACTTTATGAGTCTGCACCCTCTAAGAGCCCCTCAAAGCAAGGAGAGTGGTTTCCTTATCTCTGCACCCTCAGCACGTAGCTTAGCAATTGACAAATACACATGCAACCACTGTCAGATGACATCCGGGGTAGACTCAACTTGAGCCCTCAACTGCAGACCTGGGCCTGGCCCCTGCACACTCGGCCAATCCCGCTCTCAGGCCCTTAGAGCCTGTGGTCCCCAAGGACCCCCAGGTCTCAACCTGACTCCCACACTCCCTAACCCTGATAAAGACCCCTCTCTCTCTCTCTCTTAGAGTCCCAGCTTCCTGCTGTGCAAACGCATCAATGGATGGAGATGCTCAGAGTCCTCCGGGCTCTCCCAGCTGACAGCTCGGGAAGTGTGTTGAGCTTCTCTCAAGAAAACGGATCCTAGAACTTTTGATGATTGAATAATATTTGTTGACGAAAGGGTGGAACCAAACACATACACAGAGTTTGCAATCGTGTATGGCCCAAGGGCTGCTCTTCACCTTCACTTTTGTCTCCATGAGATCCTTCCACAAAAGGGGAAGCAAGACTGTGTTCTGGAGGAATAAACTCATGCTTGAACCAGACCTATACACAGATACTCTGGTCATTCATGTTTTTGTTACCCCTTGAAGACCCCGGTCAGGCATCCATCCCTCCTTCCCCGTGCCTTGCTGCCACCCCACCCAACCTGGGCCAATGGCTCCTCCATGCTTGCCTCGGGCACCCGTGGATTTCACACTGGCCCGGGTGCTCAGGGATCTGTCTCCCAGGGGATGTGCAGCCTGTGTCTATGGATTCATTTTCTACAAGACTCCACAGCTGTGGTTCTCTGCGTCTCCAGCACTTAGCAGAAGGACGGCAGCTTGGAGCAGGGGCTCCGGAGACGCTGGGTGACGGCATGAGTTCCAGAATCCTGACTCTCACGGAATCCTGTGCCCTTCTCAGGGCATGTTCCCGTACCTCCTCCACAATTACCCAGAGAAGGAAGTTGTTTCTCTCCTAGTGCCCATTTAAAGATGTGCAGCCGAGACAGAATGCTGACCGGCTTCTCCGTACCACATACCCGTGAAGGGCAGTGAGTGCCCACACTGGGACTGTAAAATCAGGTCCTGGTTCGGATCTGGAATGTCCTCCAGAGAATGGTGTGTTGGAAGATGGGGAGTTTGGGAAGGTGACTGGATCACTAGGGCTCCAACTTCCTCAGTGGATTAGTCCATTGATAACTGAGTGGGCTACTGGAAGGAAGTGGACACTGTAGCTGGTGGGACGTGGTTGGAGGAAGTAGGTCACTGGGGCAGGGGCTCTGTGGGCCCCATTCTCTTGCGCTCTCTATTTCCTGACGGCAGTCAACTGAACAGTGCGCCGCCACGACGCCCTGCGCCGCCACGACGCCCTGCGCCGCCACCCTTGGAGCCAGCAGACAGACCCTGAAACTCTGAAACCTGAAACCTCTGAACCATGATCCAAAATAACGCCTTTCTCCTTTAAGTTGCTTATATCAGGAGTTAGGTGATGGCAACCAAAAGGTGACACGTAGACCATGAGATTTGGGGGAGACCTGAAGGCCACCCAAAGCACTGCTCTCAACCTGTTCTTAGCAGGGAAACTTGTCCTTCCTTCCCCTGATGACATCTTGTTGAAGTCACAACATAAAAAAGTAGGATGGGGCTTTTTTTTTTTTTTACCTTTTTATAGTTGTAGATGGGCACGATCCCTTTACCTAGGTATGTATGTGGTGCAGAGGATGGAACCCAGGCCTCGCACGTGCTAGTGAGCCACAGCCTCGGCCCCTAAAGGAAAAATAGGAACACTCGACACTCCTCAAGCCACCCCTCACCTGCCCTGGGAAGGAGGGCAGTGTTCCAGCAGCCCGCCACAGGAGCACCATGACCGTCCCAGAGGGCCACTGAGCCAAATGGACATTCCAGAGCACCGGTGTGGATGTAATCTGCTGCCCCTTCAGCTGCAGCAGCCCACTGTCCTTACTGCCTTGTCTGCCTCACGTGCAAAATGGCCCCAAGAGTTGGGTGGAACCAGCGTCCCGGCTCACACACGGGAACATGCCAGGCCTAGATCTCCTCCCCAGGAGACACTCCAGAGGCGCTGAGTGCATTGCCCCTCCAGGGCTTTCTGCAGTGACACACGGACCACTGGAAGGACATGAGGTCACTTTGGTCAAGATACACACTTGAAGTGGAGGGTCTGTGACGCTGTGACCCAAGGAGTGTCCTCAGTTTCCACACCAGGGCCATAGCATAGGTCCCTTCCTGCCAGCCATCTGCTTCTGTGAGGTGTAACTCCAGTCTCGGTCTCCCTCATGTGAGACAGAGGCTCCAAAGGGAAGGCAGAGCCCTGAAAGCACAATTCTGCAGGGTCCTGCTGCAACAGAACAGAAACCAAGGTCTCACACCCCCAGCCCCAACCCAACCTGAGATTGCTCATTATTAAAATCAACACAGAGCCAGGCATGATGGCACACATCTGTAATCCCAGACAGGAGGATCCCGAGTTCAAAACCAGCCTCAGCAATTTAACGAGGCCTTAAGCAACTCAGTGAGACCCTGTTTCTAAATAAAATACCAAAAAAGTGGGGGGATGTGTCTCAGTAGTTAAGTGCCCCTGAGTTTAATCACTGGTACAAAAAAAAATAGAGGGCAGAGGAGATAAAATGATGAGGGAAGAAGTGGAAAAGCACCCTGCAAAGCATCCGGAACACAGTCCCCTCTTCTCCATTCCTGCTGATTTCCCTACAGGATTCAAGGAAAGTGGACTCCACCCAACCCCAGTTCTAGGTGTGACCCTGGCTAAGCCAGTCACTGAGTTCTACCTGCCTGCAAATAGGGTAGATGTGCGACCTAAATGGGCCCAATCAGAATGTTTCTTACAAATAAAGGAGAAAAATTATCTTCTGTACCTGATGAGGAATGAGAAGCACATGACCAAGGAGCTTCTGGCCACCATCTTGCAACCTTTACTTCAGGTAAAGTGAAGAAACACAAAACCAGGTCACTGGAGTCATCTTTGTGTTACTGGAGCAAGCATTGCCTGAAGCACACACTCTAAGGATTATTTACTTAAGCCAATAAATTATATTCATTAGACAGGTTAGATTGAGCTTTCAACCATGTGGTACTGTCTATTCCTGACACCATCCCAAGAGTACCTGAAACATGATACAATGGTTTAGCTGTCTGTGGTAAAGAAGCAACTTCATATGCAGCGTCTCAGCTAAGATATCATTCAGGTAAATGTTGTTAACCTCATTAGGGCCAGGGCACAACAGGAATGGGACTTCACCTCGCCTTCCTACTGCTCATGCCCACTCTGTGTTAATCAGCTTCTCGTCACTGTGACCAAAATACCCGACAAGAACAACCTAGAGCAGGAAAAGTTTATTCCGGCTCTTGATTTCAGAGATTCCGTCTGTGGTTAGCAGATTCCATTGCTCTGGGCCCAAGGTGAGGCAGACCGTCATGGCTGAAGAGCGAGGCAGAAGAAAGCTATCCACTCATGTTGCCATGAAACAGGGAGAGGGGAGAGGGCTGCAGGAAGATAAAGCCTTCCAGGACATTTCCCCGATGACCCACCTCCTCCGGCCACATCCCACCTGACTGCAGTTACCACCCAGGCAGTTCATTCAAACTAGGATGGACTGAGTAGGTGCAGTCACTTCACCCCTGAGGAACCCTGCATTAACTCAGGATTTTGGTGGGACACCTCGAATCTAAACCACACACACTCCCACCAGAAAAATTGCCACTTCAAATCATTTTGTGACAAGAGGTTTTGTTTTGTTTTGTTTTGTTTTGTTTTGTTTTGTTTTGTTTTGGTGGGGATGCAGTACCAGGGATTGAACTCAGGGGTACTCAACCACTGAGCCACATCCCCAGCCCCATTTTGTATTTGTTTAGAGACAGGGACTCACTGAGTTGCTTAGTGCCTCTCTTTTGCTGAGGCTGGCTTTGAACTCAGATCCTCCTACCTCATCCTCCCAAGCTGCTTCTACTTGGTACATACACTCATAGTCAGTCTGGTATTTGCTGCTGGATATAGGCTGGGACCTCAGCAGAACCTCACATGGTCTCTTCATGGAGCCTGGGTTTCCTTACAACATGGTGGCTAGGTTCCCAGGAGAAGCACCAAGTCATAGTCAGTTTCTCTCTCTCTCTCTCTCTCTCTCTCTCTCTCTCTCTCTCTCTCTCCCTCTCCCTCT